CAGGTCCATTTTTCTGAGGATTCTCAGAAAGTGGAGACGCTGTTGGGCCTTCTTTAAGACCGCAGAGGTGTTAGAGCTCCATTGGAGGTCTGTGTCTATGTGCACACCCAGAAACTTGAAACTGGAGACCCTTTCCACACACTCCCCGTTGATGCTGACAGGCTGCAGCTCGGACTTCCTCCTTCTGAAGTCAACTACCAGTTCTTTTGTTTTAGTGGTATTGAGGTCCAGGTTGTTATCTGCACACCAATCTGACAGCCTCTGAACTTCAGCTCTGTATGCAGTCTCATCTCCCCCTGAGATGAGCCCCACCACAGTGGTATCATCTGCAAACTTGATGACTGTGTTGTCTGGGTGGGAACTAACTTTCTAGGATAATTGTCCATTGCTAATTATCCTAAACTTTGATCGATCCATTAGCTGTTTTCGTGGCTTTACACAACCTTTCCGGTCTTTAAGGCCCCATCCCAATCCTTTCAGTAATACTGTTTCTCACTTTCAACATTTTATAGGTTTGCACTAAAGCTAACAATCTGCAAATCCTCCTTTCTCAGTTTATTTAACCAAGTGTCACAAATTATTTGGAAATAATGACATTTCACAGACTTTCTGAGAGTTGCCCAGAAGCTGAGCGTCGATGCTTAAAGTCTGGAATCTAAGTTGGAGCTTTGTGGAAAACCATGCTTCGAGGGGATAAAAAGCTCCTGCAGTGATTGCCTTGACTCGAGAACACAAACCGTGACGCTTGGTGTCAAGTAAATGAATAAATAAGTAATAAAACTGAAGCCCCTGCTGCTGCGTCTACACCCACCTGAACTGGAAGAGCATGCAGCGTTTCTGCTCTCTCTCCGTGATCATCTTGAAGGCGTCCAGGCAGCAGTAGCGTCGGTTGCAGTTCCCACAGCAGAACGTGATGAGAGGGCAGTCGAAGCCGTTGTGCCAGGTGCCATTTTTATCCACATACCACAGACACTGCTCGTTCCCACTGACTGCAAAACAACAAGAGCAACACAAAGTGAAAGGGAGGATGACACAACAGGGGAAGTGATCAAATAACTGGCTATGGAAGGAAGCAGAGAAATGAGGAAAACAGCAAGCGCTACTTCACATGGCTCTTTAAAGTGATTATCTTCCTTTTTATCTCTCCTTTTTGACACGCCGTTGTTTGTTTGTATCAAAGTCCTGACTGTTAATTTACAGATCCAGCTCAGGGTTGCCTCGAGCAAATCATAAATATGTATTTTGAACATTTCCTGGCACTTCTTTCTTATATTTTTCTTATTCCAGACCAGACAGTCACAATGCATTATTCAGCAGTTCCCTGTGGCAGAGGCTGAAAACTGATTCGGGCTCCAGTACTGGAAGGTACCCAGGAGATTTAAAGGACCTGAATGACTGCAACTAAAGATCACTTTCACTCTCAGTAAATCTGACAGTTACCTCTTCTATTAAAAGACGAGGTAAAGCACCAAAGTCCTTCATCTGAATATGAAGTACGTATTAAATATTTGGCATTTTTGAGTGAAAACTGACCTTAACGGTTAATTTAAGGCCTTAATTTTTGCCATTATTAAGGAAGATCCACACACAGCCACCACAAAATCTGGATGAACGAAAACTCAGTTTATTTTCCGCAGTCGACGGGCTTACAAAAAAATGATGATTCACACAAACCTGCGAAACACATGCTGTCTCCTCAAAGAATAAACACATTATAAGCCCTTAATTAAGCTGAAAAACGAACGCATGATTATCCTTTCCACATCGTATAATTTAAGGCAGCGCTAAATTACAGGTCACAGTGTGTTTGTGAAGGCTTCACTGCTTTTTTATCCATCAGTTTTCATGTGGAGCCTGGGAGAAAACCGACACACTCTGGGTTTTTCTGCTTCACATTTGGCTTTTGGGGGGTTGACTACACACGACTGGTTCACATACTGCAAAACCAAGAGTTTTACAACACAACTGATGTGTGCTACGCTTAAATAAATGAAAGGCATTTTAATAAAACTGTGTTCACATTTTTAAAAAAAAACATAACTTTACTACAGTACTGGTGATTTTGTTTTCCACACAGAAAGAAACATTACACTAGGTCATCCAACCCGAGCTGCAGCCCGTATGTAAATAAGATGACACATTTAGCCCGAGAGAGCTGCTTTTCCATACTGAGCAGAGCACATTAAACTGATGGAAACTTCACAAAGGCCGTCTAGGCCACAGTATCGAGCCAAGACTTGTATAGACTTGGCTCCTGAACTAGCTGACACTAAATTTGGTTCATGACCTTTGAGTGTTAGCCCTGACAATGCAAGTTGTCCAGCTTTATACAAGCTTTAATTTAAAAAAAAAAAAAAATCTATTACTGTTTGCTGTCAGCATCATTTAGATGCTTGCACTGGTGTGGCCCGTCTCTAAAGCACCACTGGGCCAACTGCGACACAGCTTAACTTGCTGAGTAACAGAAGCAGCCCGGCTGCAGTGAATCCTACCTCTGTTACAATATTCTGTACTTGAAACCATTTAAAGAGGTTTTAATTTAACTTTATGAGCCAAAGTTTAACACATCATACTGGCAGGAGTTTTACTTGATTGTATTAATCAGTCCACGCCATTTAAACCAGCGTGGTCTGTACAATACAGTGTAGTTCACTCTACAAACTGCAATTACTACGGCAATAAACATTTAAACTTTTAAATTTAAGCCCGAGTTTGAGTCACAGACTGTATAAAAAGACAGACGTGGCCACCGTGACGTCACATATTATGCAAACTTGGGGATTGAAAAATAAACCACATATATATTTAATCTTTATTTCACCAGTGCTTTAAACCGTATCACAGAGATAGATCGTAATTCAGCTTTATCTGACATTATTTTAAGATCTACCAGGTTCTGCAGAAATCCTGGGTGCCGTGAAGACAAGCGAAAATCAAACAGAACAGCTGTTTGCAAGTGATAGGGAGATTTCACAGATAAGCAGGGAGCATTGTAGCTTTATATATAAAAATATGTCAATGTTGTAGTCCCCTTAGGCTGTCTAAAGGGCCAGGAAGCCAGATCATAACGTGCACAGGGATGTATACTGCTCACTGAATCTGCTATGCTACACAGAGTCCAGGCAGCAGCTGATGCAGATCTAAAAGCGCAAAAATGATTCAGATCTTGATATATATACTGCCTGGTATTATCTGTGCATTCATACAGTTTTTTTAAGTTATATTAAAAAGTAGTTTTAAGTATTAGCCTTCCAGCACTGTCTTTAAACTCTAGTCTGAGCAGTTCTGCTGGAGAAAACATCTTTTTTTGCTTTGTGTTACCACATATTAGACACTATATATAACAATAGCGATATACCAGGTTATTTCCTGCGTATAAAATATATAAAGACTTGGAAAAGACTCTTTGCATCGACTACATGTGGACAACTCTAGCTTAAATGCAAAAAGCTTGTATATTATCAGTCACCCAACTCCACTAAAAGGTCATATATGCATTTTTCTATATGAATGCTTAATATTAATTATTATTTTTAAATATGAAATAAAGCTTTTTTTTAATTCTATTGATATATTAAGCTTTAACACACTTCTAATTTTGCTCCAGTATGTACAAACACGTCTGAGTCACTTAGCGCGGTATCAGCCTTGAGTTACATGAAGATAAATCAGATTTTCACCTGAACAGGTATCTTAACGGTAAAGCACGAGTCAAAACTAGCTAGCTCCCGGTTCTCCGCTAACTATAGTAGATTTAACGAGCAACAGCAGTTCAGTTCATATATACATGAACTGCTGCACGATAGTTCCCGTCATAAAGGAGCCAGTGAAAGCTAAACGTGTCCGCTGAACAGCGTTTAGTTCCAGTGATTTAGGCCTAAAATAAACACCGAGGCTCCGGGCCAACAATTAAACAGCCAAAAGCGCTTTGAGATCACGGTGACTGCAGCTCGGTGTGCGGGATAAATAAGCAGCAGTGCCGCAGAAAAGAAAGGGGAAATAGAAAAGGAAAAAAAACGGAGGGATCAACCGTTACTCCGTTGCCGTTAGCTAGCGGCGGGGCCTGGATGGAAAGCTACAATCTTACCCTGAGAAGTGCTGAGGACGACGGCGAGCACCGCCAAAGTCACCGAGATGAGGGGCATGTTTCCCCCCGGAAAGATCATCCCCGTTTGGATTTTAAACCGAGTAATTTTAAAGAGCAGGTGTTCTCATCGGTGTGCACGAGCAGAAAGAGGCGCGCTAACGGTCGTTCTCGTGCATTATCCTGGCCAGGGAACAGCACGGGGGACGGGACGGCTCTGACAGTCCGTAATTTATCCGTGGAAATGACAGAGCGCTGCTGTGACGCCGCTCACCCGGGACGAGGGGTGTGCTGCCTTCACGGAACGACTGAAACGTTAGAATTATGCCCCATCACTCGGCCGTCGACAGTTACCAACAACAAAGACCAAACCGCGTCACCAGTATAATTACAAATCATAATGGAACGGAAATACATCTTTTTACTCAAATACGCAAATACACAGTAAGCCTTTCACATTTAACAAAAAGATAATTATTATTAGCAATAACCATATCAAAGGTACTCATTATGCACAGTGGTCTTTATCTGCATGATGCGCAGTATATCAAAAAGCATAATCACTGACTATGGGTCGCCAGGACTGACGTAATGAATTAATTAAATACACCATTAAATACTTAATTAAATGTGGCAATAATTAATTAAAATTGGTAAGAATTAATTTAAATGGGAATTAATTAAATGAATATTTTTGACATATTTAATTAATCAATTATTGACACATTTAAATAATTATTTAATGGTGTATTTAATCAATTCATTATGACAATCCTGGCGTTCCATAACTGACGTGAACGTCATTTTGAATGCTTAGTATATTGCAGGATGTCTCGTTAAGAGCTCGCGTTTTCGAGCCGCCTTGAATGAGTCTTCCTACCCCCAGCCCGCACTGTCTGGATTTTAGCAAGTACCTGAAAAAACTGCTTTTCTTTAATGTCACACTGGTGCTAAATATCCTGAAACCGTGGAATGACCACATGTTTGAAAAACCTGTTATTTATAGGAGATTAAAATAAACCACCTAACTAAGCCATATAAGCCCGGGTTCATTATTTTTTCTGTGAAAATATGCAACTATGAACCTCATTTGTATGAAGTTTCATTAAGTGGAAGGAAAAAACAGAGATACGAAAAACTTTTTAAATACTCTCTCTGCTCACACAGCTGATCCTGCTCACCTGTTTGACCTTCTTAGTAGCTTTGCTACAATCTGTTAAGCTGGGAGACATGACACATTTGAAAGGAGAAGCACTCCACTCTGCACACACCAAACACGCTTAACGATAATGTGTGTTATGGACATTTTTTGTGGTGTTTTATAGTCATCTAAGTAGTGTTATATATTAACAAACTTTTAGATGGTTCAGATCATTAAAATAAATAAACAATAGATAAAGATAATCTGAGTAGATACAAAATTAAGTTTTAAATTTATGATTTCATTTATTAAGGGAAATAAGTTATCCAAACAAGGCTGGCCCTATGCGAAAAACGTTATTCCATCTTCTCGTTTAAACAGAAGCTGTTTGACAAAGTAAAGTAAGCTAAAGATCTCAAAAACATCATGGCACAATCTGAAGGAAGTCGAGAACTGACGAGAAACACATTCAATGACATGTATCAGTCTGGAAAGGGTTAAAAAGGCCATTTCTAAGGGTTTGGGACTCCAGTGAACCACGGCAAAGCCCATTATGCACAAATGGAAAAAACTTGGAACAGTGGAGAACCTTCCCAGGAGGACAGATGCTTTAGTGTGACCTTAAACAGTTCATTCATGCTAGAAAAATCTCCAATACGGCTGAATCAAAGTACCTCTGCAAAGAACAGTGGACCAAAATTCCTCCACAGTGACGTGAAAGAATCTTTTCCAGTTATCGTAAATGCTTGATTGCAGTTCCAAGAGTGGCACAAGCGGTTATTAGGTTTGGGGGGAAATGACTTTTCCACATAGAGCCAGGTTGATTTGGGTAGCTTTTTTCCCCAGTAATAAATGGAATGGTTATTTTAAAACTGCATTTTATATTTACTCAGGTTATCGTCATCTCATATTAAAATTAGTTTGATGATCTGACACAAGTAGGCGTGACAAATATGCAAAAATATAACAAATCTGGAAGGGGACAAATACTTTTTCACTGCTCTGTTATAAACTGTGTGTAATCTAATTTTTGTATAATCTTTTTTTCTGCACATTCCTCTTTTCATAGACAAATATTCACTCTCAGATATCCTTTGCTTGCAAAGGCGAATAACTGTGAAATCTGTAACTTGTTCATTGTGTCATAACTGATGTCATGGGTGACAATATGGAGGAATATGTCACCCATTCCATACCATATTTCATACTCCATACACCTGGCAGCCCGTTTAGCCTCGTTTACCCCCCTGTGGTTTTAGCCCTCGTGTGAAGTTCGTGTTTGAGTCTGAGCTGTTTGGCATGTTGACATTCATGATTAGCAGATTCTGTTTTTAAATCCACATTAGCTTGTGTTGCCCACAAAGGTCCATTGGGGTAAGGAGCTCAGGAGCGAGCATAAACATCACATCCTTTTAGATTTTCTTGGAAAATTTAGTCATGAGTTCTATTAAAATAGAAACCAATCTACAGGAAACTCATTTTCAAAGAATCTGTTTGCATATTGGTGTTATATCCACAACCTTTTGGCCTCTTTTTTTTGACTAGAACTGCTTTTCTCTTTTTACCTCTTGGGCTTCCAGATCTGCCACAGCTGAAAAGCACAGACTTCTTAGATTTTGCATTTTAAGCCTCAGGACGTAGCTCTGTTGAGACACTGCACTCTGCTGAGTGGACGATGCTTTTATGTTTGTGGCAAACCTGCGAGATCTTAAGTCCTGTATTTGTTTTTTTTGAATCAGTGATTAGTTGTTAATTCTGTAGTTTAATAATAATTTTGTTGCTTTCTGTTCCACCCTGGACTCCAAGTAAAGGTCAAACCAGACATGTCAGCAATCAGAGTCCGAGTAGGTGAAACGTTTTTCTGTTTCAGTTGAAGTCGGACACAAAGACAGGAATCTGGTGATCATTCTGAAAATGTTGTCCTGCTGGGACTTTTATTTAGAAATGTTTTCATCCCAAACGCCAATGGGTACAAGGAAATGACAAGGCTGTGAATCACCATGGCAACAGTGTTAATTCCCAAATACCCACCGTACCCAGATACACGACAGCGGGTCTGAAAGCGCTTCATTTCCTGTTGTCAACAGTCTGTTTTATGGAATATAAGGCCGCCAATGTTACTCTCCCTCTCGAACATCCCGGTGTTTTGTTTTCCTTCAGTCCATGTGAAGTTCTCCTGGAAGTGTTTCTCTGTCTTGCACCTCACTCGTTTCGTTTGTACAGAAACACACACAAAAATAAACAAGCTAAATTACAAACAACACGTGGCGAAAAAGTCCGTACATACATCAAGGTCCAACCTTCTCGTCCAGTTTGAAGTTCCTTCAAAATGGTGAGACTCTCTTCGGGAACTGACCGGTGCAGTCGCTCACCTCGCCACGCTGCTCGTTTTAACAGAGTCCTTCATCCCATCACAAGAATGTAGTAACAGGAGAGCTATGGACACGTGCATGAGTCTCTTCCCACCCCATCCCCCTCCTCTTTTATCAACTTCTCTTTTTCTTTTGCTGTAAATTCATTGTGAGGGTCATGTGACGGGGCTGATGATGGAAGATGATGTGCTGGAGCTGCAGACGGCGGGGCTAGAGGCCTATAGACTGAAGGGTTTGTCTCTCGGCTTGGTTGAGGTGGCCTGAGAACATGCTGTAGCACGGCTGCTGGGCGAACTGTGTCAGGAAGTCTGTAAGGTAAGCCTGAAGAGGAGACAGAGGATACAGTGGAGGTAATCAGGTGGTAAATCCTGTGGGGAAAACAACTTAAACATTTCTTCAGCTTCAGCTCAAACATTCAGTTGGATTCGAGGATAAAGCGATCAGATTTTGGTGTTGTGACTTTACACCCGCGATTCAAAGCATGAATGGTTCCGGCCGGTCTTTGTACCCACCTAAAAATAAATGGATGGTTTGTATTTAAGGATTCAGAAGATGGTCTCAGAGCTGTCACAGTGACTCTTTGTACAACCCAAACCTTGAACTTATCATAGTCACTGACAGGAAAAGCAGCATATTAGCATATTTTAAAAAGCCGGAACCAATAATGCACTTTTTCATGGAATTCAGTTTTAGTCAGCACTCACAGGGCTTATCAGCCTCATCTCAATTTACCCCGTTTACAGCAGCAGTTCAACACGAACCAGCCGGTAAACACCGTTGTTCCGACTAACATTATTAATGGCTCGGTTCCTCAATAGCACACAACTCGACCCAATGCCATGCATCCTGAAAAATGCTTGTTTACCAGCAGATGAAAGTGCAAATTGCGTGTCTCGTCTCCAACATTAATCCAGCAGGCCTGACGCCATTTTATCCTAAAGCTCTGTTATAATTAGAGCGTCTTCTCATCTGATTTGACATTCTAGGGCAGAAAACGCTGGTAAACTCGCAGCAATGACCTCGGCCACTCTTAAGAGCTGCAGCCTCCCGGGCAGCTTATATATGAACATAATGTATTACAGTATGTCTGCTGGCATAATGGGTACAACCCAGTACTAGCAAGGTGACCTAATAAAGTGGCTGTTAAGTGCATAATACAGTCAATACATATTTCCCTTGTTAATACTTTGAATAGCTCACTATTGATACTCAAGATGGCAGTATAAGCTACAAACACGTGAGCAGAATATCTACACGGGTTGAACGATGGGTAACAGAAAGGTAGTTTGTGAGGAGGTTTACTTATGTGCAACTGCTAAAAATCTATACATACACAGATATACTGTTGGCATCACTTAAGTAGATTTCAGCTACGGCCAAAAGAAAAGTACAGCACTGTAAAAAGAGTTGTGTTAAATGAGGTTTAATTATCTCAAGCAGACATTTTCATTTATGAAATAGCAAAGATCCATGTTTTTATGCTTATGCATCAACCAGTGAAGATTAATCTGAGCAAGTCGATTGAACATTTAGTCTTCATTGATAAACTATCAATGAAGACTAAATGTTCAATCTACATGATATTTGGCATAAATATCTAAATTATTGTTACTCATTCAAAGGGAACCAGCAGAAGTCTTTGACTTGAGTTTGACTAAGTGAAAGACAACAGAGAGGCCAATAAAATGTCAGAGGAAACCAGCTCCAGCAGTAAAAACACAGAGCTGGCTTTCATATTATTATTCTCTGTCGCTCCACAGCTCCAACCAGAGTGTCCCACCCACGCTTAGATCTGAAGTAAGACACTTACCTGCAGGTCAATCTGATATATGGGGTCTTTCAAGGCATCTGGATCATCCTCA